TTCAATTATGGTTTTAACGATTTATTTATGTTCCTCGCTTTGTTTTATATTTCCCTAATAACGGTGTTTTGTTTATGAGACAAATAAGGCTAATCATAAGAAAGACACAAATACCGGAAGTTCAAAATATAAAATAGACTATATCGCAGTTTTTAATAAAAACACAGAGTTGGCATTTATTTTAATTATAACAAATATAAAAAAGGAAAACTAACTTTATTTGTTTACTGAAGTTGATAAAACAAAATTTTATTTAAATTTGAGTTAAAATTTACTCAATATATGCTAACTTTTATTTCCCATTCGATATCATAAGATATTGTAATAGTTAACATGAATTAACAATTTATTAAAAAAAAGACTTCAAAATTGTACTTACTCACTATGTTTATAAATATATATGTACATATATATATAAAATCTTTATATATAATTCGTTGAAAAATTTATTTTTAATTTTCAAGATTAGTTTTAAAAAGATTATTATTATTATATGATCCGTACTCCTACAGCAAACATTGATCTTTGATTTTATCATTAAAAAATCATTCCGCTTTCTTTTTCACCGTAAAAATATTATTAAAAAATTGGTGAGGAATTCATGCAATTGGCATTTTATCAGTAATTTGTAAATTGATCAGTAAATTTTCAAGATCAGTTTTAAAAAGATTGTTATTAATATATGATCCGTATTCCTATAACAATTGATTTTATCATTAAAAAATCATTCAGTTTTTTTTTTCATCGCAAAAATATTATTAAAAATTGGTAAGGAACTAATGCAATCGATCAGCATTCGATCAGTAATTTGGTTGCAGAGCTGTTTTTTTTATATATGATATTCTAAATATGTGTACTCCAAATTTGCCACATATTCTGCTTTTACCGCCCGATTACTAAATTGTGATTTTAACCGAGTCCATTCTTTGTTTCAATAGATGTTCACAGTATTGACTAGATTGCCATATCTTTTAATAGTAGAAACAGGTTCTATCATAAGAAGGCCAGAGGTTGATTAGGAACAGAGAGATTATGCTTAATGCATTCCAATTTCTTGCAACCCCTTTGCAGACAATGTTTTGAAGACAAAACAATATTTAACATTTTTTAATATTATATATTTATGTTTGTGTTGTTTAACTAAGATGGTTTAACTAGTTTTAACTAGAATGGTTAAAACTGCATATGATAAATTTTAAAATATGTGATTTTAAAAGTCAATATTTTTTGCATTTCAAATGCTAAAGACACATTAGATAATTATGAACTCGTATTTTTCAAAATTCCACACTGCAAAATTTGTATACATAAATTCTCATGCCAAAATGGTTGTTATTTAAAATATCAAAATAAAGTCAGGTTATATTATACTAGCCTTCTTCTATTATATATACAAATTATTAAGCACTAATTGACTTATATCGCTTTAAGTCGAATTCTCAATGAAATGCATTACCTTTGAGATTTTATCATTTTCAAGCACACTTGTCTTAAAAATAAATTTTCCCTTCAAACAAGAATGAAGTGTCGAGAGATGAAACACATTTTTATCCTATTCCCTTTCATATAATTTTTATCTTGTTAACTACAATTACTGTTATACAAGCAACAACAAAATAACAATGACAACTAAGACCCACTTAACTTTGTGTGTTACTTCCCCCACATGATAAGGTCTATTGCGGCATTTCCAAACCATAAGCGAGGCAACTGAATACGTTAAGTGCATAAATGATGCTCACACCTCTGGGGAATATGAAAACAACAACTGTTTTTGTTGGTTTTCACTTAATGTAAGCTTAGGGATCAAAGTATGTTGTGTAGCTGGAATCACTCATACTTGACTCTTTCGTTTAACACACAAATGTATTCATTCCACCACAGCAAGCATATGTTAATAAATTTATGTGTTGGTGTCTTCATGATATTCTCTATCTGGGGAATCTAGTCTTCCATTGTGGGTGAATTTGAAACCATTTCCATTTCCTTCCGCTTTTCAATTTCAATTGTTTTATTGTCTGTCATCGTTGATATCGTTTTGTTTTCTTGTTATAATTATGATTGTTGTTTTTGATATTGCGGCTCAAGTGTTGACAACTGTTTTTCAAGTAAATTACTTTTGACTTCTGAGTTATTTTGTTATGATGTAAGGGACGATAATTTATATTACATTGTTATATACTACTTTTAAATACAATTTGTTATAATTTTGTTTCTAGTCAAAATAAAATTAAGAAGTAAAATAAAAATTAAATAAAAATAAAAATTAAAGTGATGTGATGTGATGTGATGTGATGTGATAGTAAAATATCGCTATTTTCAAACATCCAATTTTTAAATTACTGATTTTAATATCTTAAGTTATTTTTTTTTCAAAACATTTTGATTTAATCAACATCCCGTAAAACTTTTATTGTAATTTTGTTTGAAATGTTTTGAGTTGTTACGTCGAAAATATTTTGTTTTTTAGGATTTTAACTTTTATTTCAATCGAGACCAAAACTATAATGATCATTTAAAAGATTTCCCCAAATATTATTAAATATTTTTAAGTATTCTTGCAACCAATTTAAATATACTTTTTATTTACAAATTTCATAATTTTTTTTAAATATATAGAACCAATTTTTGCTATCTAAACTATCTCATACATAAAAATAAAATCAAAATTATAATCTTTAGTTCCTGTGCTGTGATAGTTTCTTGTGTTGAGAATAATAACATATCATATCAATGAGAATAATAACTCTATCATTTTTTTCAATTGTAAACACTTATTACATATCAAAAAGCAACAAATTATCTCCAACGTTGGCAACTCTATTACAAATATAATAATGTTGTTGATGAATGAACATATTCATTGGTTCAATAAAAGAAGAATAGAATCAAAACAACGAAATCAAGATAGTATCTTCAATATAAAGTACATAAAAAATTAGCATACCTACCCAACAAAAACAACTACTATACAAAGTTCGTTTAAGCAATACACACATTTCACTACCTATACACATACACACACATACACAAACATAAACTCTCATGCGTGTATACTATGGTGCACGTTGGTATGTGCTAGCTGCTAGCATATAAAACATATTTACAGACACATTATAAATAACCCTGCCGCACTTTCTGCCATCATCTCCTCTTTGAGGATATCAAATTTCAACAATTCATAAAACAACAACAAAGGGAACTGAAAAGAACAGCAGCATCAGTAGTGACAACAACAAAAATATCGGTGAATTTGCCTTTGCCAATGATAATGAAAATTATGTTTTTGTGATGATAATGTAGTTTTTAATTATTATGTTTCCGTTGATAATTTTATATTGAAATTAAATTTATATTGTGTGGCTTGATAACCATGGCTTTAATAGACCGTAAAATTGTGGAAGAGACTTTGTTTGTAAAAAGTAGTGTCGAACGAGAGAATAATGATTGAATGAATACATAAAAATTTTAATAATTTTACTTATAGTTTTTAATATTTATTGTTTTTAAAAAGGGAACACGCATATAACGCATTTCATTATCCTCATCCGTGACTATACAATCCATGTAGAACCTAAGCCTACTTAACAACAGTCTGCCATTCTTCTTTGGTTTTTGTTTTTTTTTTCAATTTCTTATGTTCATTTCATCTAAGTCCTGTTGCACACTGTCGCTTTCTTAGTCGCCCTCTTCCTCTGCTAGTTCCTACTTCGTTCTCATAAATCTTAAGCGGTACTCTCATATCCGGTACTCCTCTCTCTCTCTCTCTCTCTTATTCCTTCTTCACATGTCCAACCCATCTTAAGCGCTGCTTTTTCATAAATTTGTTGATTGTATCACCTTCAGCTAGCCGTTCCAGCTCGTGGTTGTATCTTATGCGATTGATCCCGTTTTCTTTCCAGGGGACAAAAATATTTCTGAGTATTTTCCTTTGAAATGCTATTATCTTGCTTGCTTCAGTTTCAGTTAATCTTCATGTCTCGCAGTCATATGTTACTACTGGGCGTATCAATGTTTTGTATATTTTTAGTATTGATATAACACATTTAATAGGCTTTTTAGTTCCATTTGTTGCGAAGAAAGGTTGCATCTATATGATATTAGGTATGCGAAACCGATAAAGGACTGACTTTTGATATTTTGATTTTGAAATCTATTGTTAAAATTAATAATTTAAGGCAATTGTATTTTCTTGCTATATATTTCCTTATTGGAAAATACAAAAAAAGTTCAACAAAAAATTAATTCTTCATATAACGCGAATACAATATTTGAAGGTCTTAAAGATTTTTCTAATGTTATGTTTAATCAAGCTCAATATGAATTTTCTTAAAGTCAATATTAACTCATACTATTTGCAATCTTTTAATAGCGACAACCAGACTTCGATATAACAACTAATCGGATATTGTAATAGAAATTTTATTAACATTTTAGCTCTGGCTTGAACATACGTAACGGTTACACCGATCATGAGATTGAGCCGATCGCTTTAATGGCGTTATAAACGACATCTACGTTTATTCCCCCTTATTAGATAGATACTTGTAGTAATCAAGCCAGTTCAGAATTGAATATAGTAATCATACAAAACGATAATGTAAATAAAAAAAATCATTAACTTAAAATTATATTAAAATTACTTCGATCGTTTTAAATTTGGTTGTGATTCTAATATTCAGATATATTTTTTATAGGAAAAATTGTTCAGTTTGTGTGCATTTTTGTGCTAAATTTAATTGTTAACTAATCGTAAAAGTTATACTAAATATTTCTAGCAAAAGTTGAACGTAATATATATAAATTATAAAACCTAATACATATAGGGAGTGTATTTCTATATATTTAAATAACAACTTTAATATCTTATTAGTTTTTCTTATTCATGGGTGTATATGGAAGAAACTTTCTATTTCATAACAATTAACAATAAATTTCTTTAAAAAATTTAAAAATATTTATTGAATTTTATAATAATTGAATTTTTTTCTACTTTCTAGTGGGACTTCAGACAAACAACATTTGGACTCGTCTAGCGACTCCGAAATGGAAGGTTCTCTATTACAACACAGTAACAATGGAAATCAAGCTCAAAGCACTGGCAATATACATCATCATCAGCAACAACAATCACCTACATCTCCAATTAACAATCATCATCACCATCAATCGCATCAGCAACATTTACACACAACAACAATACATACGAACAGTGATAGCAACAATGCACAATCATTGCTGCAACAACAGCACCAACATCACCAGCAACATAATCTCAATGCACAATTTGTTGGCATATCAAATGCAGGTGTCGGCAATGGAAGCAACGCAGGTGCATTGTCATCTGTAGCCGCTGCTGCAGCGGCGGCGGCAGTGGCTAGTAATAAAAATGGCCCGAGTCAATTGGCAACACCACTGTCAGCTGCGGTCGCCTACTCTCATTTGCATAGTGTGATGGGTTCCATGCCAATTTATGATATGAGCGACTACCAACATTTATGATTTTAGCTGGAATCGTCCGAATGGACGAGACAGCAACAACTCCATCAACAACAACAACAGCATCAGCAATTGCAGCAACAGCACCAGCAGCAGCAACAACAACAACAACAGCATCTGCAATCAGCATCTCAAGAGCAGAATTTTTACCTTTAAAAGGATAAACATGTAAAAATTAAATCAAATATCAAGCATATAGTATTTAAGATAGATAAAATCAATTATTATTAAAATTTAGTGAGTCCTTCGCTTTTTTATTTAATACAAACGACATCTGGTATGTACGAATATCCTATATATAACAAATATCACTATAATTTATAGTAAATAGAAAAGTACTGTATACATCGTTATATTAGCAATATTTTTGAAAACTAGTGTATTTAGTAAAAAATTAAAAATAAATAAATAACTACACACTATGAAAATATCAGGAACAATGGAGCACACGATTAATATATAATAAAGTATATATGTATGATAAATTGAATATATGTAAATAATTAAAATCAACTAAAATAAATTAAAAACTATTTTTATTAAATTTAATATATCAAATATGTGCAAAAATACGACATTATATAGCTTTAGGCATTTGTTAAATTATTTACAATAATTTAAAAAATTATTCAACTTTTAGAAAACATTAAAAAATTCAATATAAAATATAAACAAGAAGTATTACAACAAACTGAATCGTATTTTTTTTAATAAAAGGACATCTACCAAAGACCCTATATCGATCAAAGGGGTTGCGAAGGGTCCAACTGGCATCATGTGGTTATATTACAGCAAACCAATTTGTTCTGTTCTGTTGTGGTAGTTTAATTTTTCAATTTTAATAAGAAAGAATCAAAAAAGGACACTCACATGTTTGACATTTTTGTACTTTACCCCAGAGAGCGTCAAATCATGCTTTCAGTTATAATGGTCAAGTTATATACGATATAAATATAAACAATATACATATCACGATATTGATATAAATCAGCGAATTAACATCTAGAAGCTTGGCTGGCTTGGTCATGTCGTGAGAATGGATGAAGATGTTCCAGCGAAGTGGAGGGAGTACTAACTGAACCTGATGTAGGAGACTGAAAAAGGCGCGCACGCAGCACAGGCGCCTGGGGAGATATGCTGCGTCAGGCCAAAACTAGATAACGAGTTTTTATGGCCAAATAAGTAACATAAGCAATATATATAATCATAAGAATAAGAACAGTTTTACTTGAAAGTGTACCTTTATATAAAAATAAAAGAGATATATAAGAAGTCAGTTGCATACTTTTTAATTTTTATATTGACTGTTTTTCTTGTGCTTAACATTATATAATCACATCTACTCAAATTAGAAAACAGGATTACCATTAAATATGCATGGTTGTTGATGGCCTTAGATAGCGGCTAATAATATTTTCCTTCTAATGTAATACAAGATCTTAAAAACGTCAATTGAATATAACATGCTGAACCCTGATATTTAAAACTTTTAAAAATTTAAGAAGATTCGTTACGAATATCGTAATATTCGTAAAGCTTAAACATTTCTAATCATTTGCAGATATGGGCTCATTTGATTATTTTATATTCGTTATGAATATCGTAATATTCGTAAAGCTTTAATATTTCTTATATACCTAGAGTCTAGAGTAATGAAAATGTGTTCCTTAGTTTAGACCAAAAATTTATAAGGCAAATTAGATATCACTTTTAAAGTCAAATAAACGTATATAGAACATTTATTTCAATTTTCTTCTGTTTAATATATTTTTTATATTGCCTTTAGCATTCAAATCTCCATTCATAAATTTTAAAGCACTTAAGAGTTTGTTGAAAGTAAAAAGGATTAGAATAGGTTTTTTTGTAGAATACTTTTTTTGAAATAACTACAAATGAATTTTTAATAAATTTGAGACAAAGATTTTCGTACTATCTCTTTTCCTACTTCACAACGACTGACAAGAGTTCACTTACAATCCGCTTAACCGGATTAAATATTTTTCTAAAAGGTCAACAATAGTCCGTTGTTCTGAATGGTGTCTCTTAACATCTTTATTTTGGTATTTAACTGTTGGACTATGACAATCAAACAACGATGACAATTGTTGAGAAAATTTTATAGTATGCAATTGTAAGAAAATTGTTTTATAAATTGTAGTCCCGCCTTTTGCTCCCCGTATTTATGGCCTCAAAAAAAAAAAGAGCTCTGAAAGTATTGCTCTTATTGTATAGTTATATTATTATATATTTTAAAAAGAAAGAGAATATATCTTACAGGTGTATTGGACATAATAAGTGTCAGCTGTCGTGCGTCCCAGGAGCAATTTCTACAAATATTTTAATGATTATTGACAACAAATATGCATTTAGCTTTATTATATTTATAACTTGGTAACATCTAAAGAAAATATATGAAAAGACTTTTTTAAATAATGTATTTCAACATATTTATATAATTGCAACACTGGATCATTCGACCTAAGGCATTTCGGACATCTTGGTATTGCCGATCTTAAAAACAGTGAATATCGCATAACAATTTTCTTGTTCTATGACAAAAAATCTATTTCGAATAGAAAAGGAACTTGGAAACTTACCGTCCGTTAAGTAGACAAACGAATCAGGTATAGGAACAAATCAAGTTAACTGTAATAAGAAAAAGTATTCATATAAGCAATACAGAAGTATAAACAGATGACTACAAACTGGAATTGAGATGGAATCAGAGCACCACAAAAATCTCACAAGGACAATGTCAAAATATTATGAAATGCGATATTAAACCGGCTACACGTGTCATTCATTACGAAGGTAAAAATATATAAAACTTAGTATCTCCTTTCACTGAATATCGGTATCCTTGCAAATAGTAACAGAACTAAAGGATAATCAACAAATGACTGTTTATTACGATTTTTAACGATAGGTAAAAAATATTCTCATAATTTATCTCAGACCGGAGTATTGTGCAGATTACAGCAAATTTCACCACCCGCAGTAGCACATTGTACATTGTACATTGATTACAACAAGAATTATGCACACTTAGGGTTGCATACTATGGACCACCCTCTTCGATACAACCACCAGTTACCAATTAACTGTTGCTAAGATTTTTTGCTGCAGAGTGGAGTAGTAGCAAGAAGTGAAATTAATCTCACTATAATTTCAGTTGGTCGGATTATGCGTATGACTTTCAATTGATGGTTACATGTCCGTATAATTCCTATTATACTTTTGTTTATATCAGCGGATTTGACAAGAAATTATCTACACAATCAGTGTTTTCATTTCCACTACCATTGACTGCATTATGCCAGTCACGTGCTTTTAGCTACACAATTCGCCCTTATAAAAGCTGTCTTCTTACCTGTCCACATATTACGAGACTTGCATTATTATTTTAACGTTATCATGAACTCCATTATTACTTCCATAATAATTATGATTTTAAAAATTTTTGATTGTCCTCTAAAAGGTTATTAAAAATATATATATTATATATGTAATAGAATTTAAACAGCAAATAAACGGTATTAACATAGTAGAAACCCCAGTAAATCTTCACCCTCATAAATAGCACATACTTCTAGAGTGATATATGAATTATATTGCATTAATATGGAATTTTTGGGTAGTGCTACTTTGATAGCTTGCAATTTCATAGGGAAATCTTACTAAAGACTGCGAATCTGTATCTGGCTTTTACAAGATCCGAGTATTTTTATAACCAAAACCAATGTTTTTTTCAAAACATTGAAAGAGACTTATTCTTATTACAACATATCATATTGTTAAAATCATTGGATCCTGAAACGTTTAAGTGTGATCAAGTTTTTTTGGAAGCAGCACAGTGCGCTATGTTCCTCTGACTTATGCCAAACAAAAAATATTTTTATCTGTCACAATGTGTCAACAATATTTAGGATAAGATAATAGGATAAAATTGTATCGTAGAAATAGACAGATGGGATGAACACATACCAGTTTTGAACAAATGAACGATCTTTTTTAATTATCAGTGAATAGAACTTAGAACTTCATTTTATAATAATAGCAATTTGAATTCTGAAAACAAATAGTTTTAAAAAAAATGGTTTTTATGGACACATATGTTACGTGTGAAATAAAAAATAATACAATCAAATAAACAACTCTAAACTAGAATAGAAAGGATAAAAAAATATAGAAACCAAATCATCATATTGGTTGTTTAAAAATTCTATGAACCATGAAAAAATAAAACTTATCTTACATAAAAAAATTATAATTAAACATTCACATGGTTTTACAACCATACGCATATACTGTAAAAGACTGTGACAGGTCACAATTTTTTATTAAAAATTAAACAATATTCTCTTACAAATAAACAGGATTTGAAAAAAGCAATGCTTACTCAAAAGCAGTAATCGCACACATGATTCCGATTCTGATTCTAATTCTACACTGAGTTGAAAGGAGCATATATGAGAGCAAAGACTCATAATTTAAGCCACTTTCATTTAATATATTCTGCGCTTCGATTTCTTAAAGCACCAAAAAAGAGCAAGAACAAGAGCAAAAAACTAAAATAATTGCTATTCATTTTCGCAGTAGTAGTCACATTTTAAAACAGATGTTTCTGTTGTTCTTGCCCTTATCTCGTGCTCCATGAAATAAAAGAGCAGAGTACAACATAGTAGAGCAGTTAAATGTTGTGTTTCAGTGCAGAAACGGAAAGAAAAATCATAACAGAATTTAGCATCTTAAATAACTGCTCATAAAAGTATACATTCAAATGTTATTGTATTAAATTTAATATATATAAAAAACTATATAAAATCTTCTTCAAATAAAAGTTTATCTTCGATCAAGTCTCTTTTGACGTTTTTTCGGGTGGGAATCATCTGAACTTGTTGTAGTATCCTCTACAATTTTTCCTCGATTTTTACTCGTTGTTGGACGACTAGCGGCTTGTTGTTTCGCATTTTTTCCTCTACCCGGTAGTTCTTCTTCTGATTCTGACCTATCGGAGGAACTGCTTTCTAATACATTTTGTGGTTTTTTTGTAGATTTACTGTTAGCATTCTTTGTTTTTGTTGGAACTTCATTATCACTTTCAGATAATGACATATTTTCATCATCGGACGAATCTTTACGTCGCACAGCCCTCTTCTTCCGCGTCGTTGTTTTTTGTGAAGTTTGTGATTTTAATTTGTTTGATCCATGATCCACATTATTAACGTTGTTTTCACCGCCCTCATCGCCTTCATCACGCACTTCCAAACATTCATTAATACGCGATTCCAACTCTGTTACTACTGTTTTCAATTCCGGTTTAGCCAGCTTCGAAGTATTTGAAATAATTAACTTAAACGATTGATATACCTCATCTACTTGCACTTTATCCTTAATGAGATGTATATTATCGATAAGTTTTCTTATTGTTTTTTCATTGTAGGTTAGTAAACTAAGACAGTAGGCCGTATCACGCCATTGACGCTCCGCATGTGACACTTGAAAACGCATACTTAATTTTTCTACCAAAGTTTCAACTTGGCGATCTTTGTGGATTAATCCAATTATGTACTTCATTATAGTTCGATACTTTTCCTCAGGTAATTTGGTATTGATATCCCCCAAGTTAGATATAATATCGGGTAATACATTGTATAATATATTTGATTTGGTGGATATTTCTTTAAAGAACTGACGTGTCATGTTCTTAATGTCATCACTTGGATCTACAATACATTTTGCTAATTCTGCTATTTGTCCCTTAACACGAATCATTTCGTGCAAAATTAAATGGGAAATCATTTTAACAGATGTTAAACGAACCTCTTCATTCTGTTCTTGTAACGTTAGGTATAAATGTCCAGTCCATGGTTCGATTTCATTTGGAAACCGAAAAGTTAAGTCAGATAAACCGATTACAATATTACTTTTGATAACAGTGTCCTTTGTTTTATTTAAAATATTCATTAAGAGCTGCATATAACTGTGGCAGAATTTACTTGAAACACACATAAATCGTACTAAAGTCAATGTTGCAGCACGTTGAAGATGTTCTTCCTTAAATTTACTAGGATGTTGACAAATTCGTAACACCAGCTTAACCATAACTCTTAAAAGACTTTTTTTGTCGAACAACAATCTTTCCTCACAGATTTCATTTATAAGCTCTGCTATATTGTCTTCTGCAGTAGCACCAACAAGATCTTCGTCAGGCTACAATAATATAGATAAAATCATAAATGATCAATTATTAAGATTGATTATTAATAAGATATTAAAATTTAAAAATCTTAATAATATATAACAAAATGTTTTTTATGCTTTATTGACAAAATAAATCTATTTTTCTAATAGAAGGCTTTTTGAGTAATAGTGATTTTATTTTTCACAAGATAACTACCAAAACACTTATCGTGCTTCTTAATTAGAACAAGCTTGTAAACTACAGCTTATAGAAACTGCAATTAACTATTCATTTATAATATTAAAAAAAAAACTGGTTGATATAAGTTATGAATAAATAAATAATTATATAATGTACTTTAACAAATACAATATTACTTACTTCTTGCTGAGGCTCCGCAGCACTACCAGATAAACGTTTTAATGATTCAGTTGCTGACATATTTAAATTACCATTTTTTCGCAAAGCACTGTGCTCCTTTTTCTTTAGTTCACAGTCCTCAAGTTCCTGAATATACTTCATATTATTATAAACATCAACATCAAGAAATATTAGTTCCTTTAAAGTTATGTACCCAATAATGTATACGAAACGAGTTAATAGGAAAGCTTTCATGGTTTTATATTCCTTGTTCTGACTTGGAAGTAAAGGTTGCGAACTCATTGATTGAGATGCTGAAGGTAGCGATGAAGGGTTTACAGTGGTCTTTTTAATACTTTTCAACATTCTTCCCATCAAGTCAACGATCATTTTTTGACAAATAATATCTGGTTTTTGACATAGAGTATAGAAGAATTCAAATGTCTTTGTAGCTACGAGCTCGAAATCTGGCAAAAGCGGATGAAAAAAGAATTTCATAAACATATCAAAAACATTTGTTGCTATGGGACTATCACAATCATAACGTTGATAATATTTTGAGTTTGCGGTATGATCAATCGAGTTCATCATAAATTGCAAACATTTAGCATATAAACGTGGATTCCGCCTTCCGCGTTCACCAAGCCCAACCATTTCAATAATGTTTAAATTAGCTGATGCAATTGAGGGCTTTGAACTAGAACACATAACAAGCAATTCTAAAGCTAAACAAGACTCTTCAGTTGTGGTTCCCTCAATTTTCATTGTAAAAATTTCAAAAAGAACTTGTATAATTAAAGCATCCATGTCGTCTGTTGATACCCATTCTTCAATTAAACACTCCAGGGCAAGAAAATGACCATATTCAATAGTTTGGATAAAACGTGACAAATTTTGAATTACTTTAACAGCATGAGCTCTATAATAATCACAAAATACAACTCATTAAGATAACACAAATTTATAACCATTACTAACCTTCCAGTTAAGTCTGTCGTAAACAAAACTTTCTTATATGCATTAGATACAAAGTCTCGTTTTTCCTTCTCTGATGACCAAACCAACAACAACATTCTTTGCATACCAGCTTCCATACCTTTCACTCCAAATAAATATCCAGTCGTAAAAAGATCAACAGCTTCACAAACATCAGATATTGTTTTTGAAAGCAACATATCAAGAATTTTTGGTACTGCTCTTGTAAGAACTTTTGAAAATTCTATGGAGTCTTCAAGAAACTTTACGGTTTTTATCATAGTGTCCAGTTTTTCGTTCTATATTAAAAGACATGTCAACAAGTCATGTATTTGAATCACAAAATAAATAAGTCAGTACAAAGTTAGTATGAAGATTTTACTATTAAAAATAGCTTAATAAACATTAACTAATTGTTTAGTTACACAATTGAAACACAATTGTATATATTTTAATTTTACTTACATCATTTTTACATCCGTTTGCTAAAAATATATAAGTCTTAAATAAGGCTACATAATATGTCACTTGCTCTTCAAGGGGTAGTGTATATCTTCAAACAGCCAAAAATTTGGTCATATAGTCGAAATTAGATGTTAGAATTTAATAATTATACCTTAATTCGGAATTTCCATGCACGTAATCAACTTTTCTTAGCAATATAATTGCTTCTTTATACTTTTTATCCAGTAAAAGCTGACAAATTCCTTTGACAAGGTCTTCTAAACTCTCTTGCGTTTCATATTCTTGAGTACCTAAAATTAAAAGTTACTAGTTAAAATTAATACTATATGTATGCTATACCATATCTTAAGCTAGCTTAATATATTTATAATAAAATTGGATAATATAGACATAATATAATATATTAGAAAATGTAATATATTATATAATGTATATATAATAAAATATGTATACATGTATGCATGTGTATATGTATGTTGTGCATATGTATGTATGTAATATATTTAATGTATCAGTCAATCATATGTGATATATAAATTACTCATTTCTATATAACATATATAATGTACACTGTATATATCATGTAAATTAATCTATAGTAAATATAAACTTACTTTGAAGTTGCAAATTCTCATCTATAAGTGGAACAATTTCTGGTAATATTATATTCCACTGCTCTTCTATTTGTTCGGTTTTTTCCCTTTCTTCCGCAAGTGTTGCTTTTAATTCATTCATATTTTTTGCTTCATCTTCGTGCTTTTTAATTAATTCTTCTAATGATAAATTCGCAGCAAATGGATTACATTCCAAAAATGCTTTAATTAACTGAATAGCTTGCTTACGAACTATTGCGGTTTTATCCTCCAACCGATCAACAGTTTCGCAAAGTACTTTTATTTGCAAAGACAGAGGTACAGCATTTTCTTGCTTTAAATTATGCCATATATTCAATACCTTAGCACGGACATGGGCAGATACATCACAAATATGTGATAAAAGTAAATCAAGAAAATCATCGCGCGCTTCTTTCATTTCTTCAGGCAACTCCTCTGATGTTAACTTACCAACAATAGCATCCCCCATAATCTGTAGTATGCAATTTCGTATAACATGCGATTCACAATTTAAAAGTTCTTCACTAAGATTTGATAAATGTGGTATCATAAGTTCTGGAGAACGGGCAGCTAGTTCTATTAAAAAATTTGAAAAATTTCGTGAGACTGCAGTGTCAGTAGATTCACCAGTAAGCGTATCCGTAATATCTTTTATGAGAACCGAAAATGCAGTATTAATACCACACTCTTCATTCAATAACGCTATGCCATGGGCAATTGAACTTGCTGTGTGCTCTGTTCTGCTTAATATATATAAAATTTGTACAGGAAATGAAATAGCATGACTGTAGCGTTTAATTGCGACTCCAATTATTTGAAAAGAACTGTCAATGACATTTTTATTATCAGCACGCATAGGTATAGATGAAATAGTATTGTAGCAGCGTTCCGTAATCATTCTTTTATACGAGTAGAAAGTATGAAAATAAAAAAAATTTATTTCGTTTATTTTTGAGTTATTTAACTTACTCTACGAAATTTGAATCGACCACTGGTGGCATCCATAGCTTTTCTAAGGGAAGCTGTAATATATTAAACATTTGCACCAGAAACTGACCTCTTTTCTTATCCCAATCAAACTGGTGATCCTGTGCTTCATGGTGTTTACCACGCTTCTTAACTGCATTCACATTTAGTTCCCGTTGTCTATTTGTTATGACCACTTCTATGCGCTTCATAGTGTGTGTAAATAGGTACAATAACATTTTTGACAGAGTCAAATAATTACTTCTTTCTGGGAAAGCATTATTGTCCTTTGATAATTTAGCCGATAATTCTTTACCCAATTTATCCACAGTAAGATATAGCATATCAAATGAACGCGATAAATTTTTCATAGCACTGATATCACTGCTTTCACACTCCATAACAGAATAGTACGTGTCAAAGTGATCCAATATATAGAATGGATCATCTTTGTGAAGGCATTCTCTACACTCTAAAAAAACAAAATGTATTTAATATGTAATTACAATATCATAATGTACCTTTAAGTTTGTCAGGAATTTCATCTGAAGTATAGACATGTTTTACGTAGTAATTATCACCACTACTATTTAGTAGATCTGAGCTTTTTAAAGGCAATGAAAAACTAAAATTCATTTTAAACTTTACAATAAAACTGGCTGAAAATTGAAATCTTAAACCAAACCATTAAATATATTACAAGCGTTTAAACGGTAAAACTGGCGTCGAAAGAAATGTCAAATATTGACAGTGTTGGGCAGCGCAATGTGCAGTACGTAGGGGAAGTAATTTTTGTTTTCTAAAAACTTTGAAATCAACTTGGAAATTATACAGCTGACATATATAAAATCAGAATCATAATTTATGTAGAATATCAAATTTTATATTTTGATAAACATATAAATGCCATAATGATTAATAGCAACTATTTTCATTTAATGCAGTTTAGTTCTTAAAATGTCAATCATCAATTTATCGTTGTATAATATTTTAAACCAGCATTAACATATACAAAGAGAATAATAATAAAAAAATTAAAAATACAATAGTCTAGTACTAGTATCTGCATTTGCATGTAAATCAAATTGCAACAAGAAAGTATTTCTTCAATTCCAATGATTATACAATATTTGATTGTCAGAAGTAATTTTTATTTTTACGTAAAGTATTAAAAGTAATAATCAAATTCTTTTCCGATTTTTTCATAAATTTTTATGATGATCTTTACTATTTTTGTTAGCACAAAGGAAAACCAATCAAAGCTATAATGGAAAATTTAATTACAGAACATTGGTTATACTTCTAATGATGTTCAAATTGTTAAAATTAATTACGATCTTTCATTTAATATAACGTATATCCCACGTGTCATGTGGATATCGTATTTTGCCACTTATTATATCTAAATTTTTTTTTTTGGTGAGCGGATTTTGGCAATTCAGTAAATATACAAAAATCTCTATCATACAGTACAGGCTCGGTTGCCACTTAAAAATTTTTTTCTATACCAAAATTGATTCAAAAAGGTACCGTTTTTGTTAAAAAAAGGTCCCATTTTTTCCTATTGTCTTTTAATAAGAAAAAACAATATATGTATATAAAATATACAGAAGATATAGGACAATACGGTACAAACAGATATTTTAATAAAGGGACTAGTTTTTAAATTTTTGAATTTTACTGAATTCTAATAGGTGGTTTTAGACCCTGAGTTTTTTCCTACGTATACGGTAACACAATGCACCAATAAGACTAAGTGGATCCGCTAGGGATCGCCGGTATAACCTAACTTAACCTACACTGAATACCTGCATACAGTGGTTTTGATGGCAATAAAGTGGTAGACAAATTGGCTAAGGAAGCTGCCTCAAGGCAACCATATGTGTCGGAGCTAATTCTTGAAGTTAGAAAAAGTCACTTCATAAGTCTAATCAAATATGACTTCACCTATAAAATTAAAGCTCCAACTGCGGGGTTCTCGCAGTAACAGGCTTTTTTGAATGTGAAAGAATACAATAGCCTATTAATAGACGCATTGCCACAAACATCTAATGTTCAAGCCCATTATATATTAATAAAATGATTTATGAACCCATCAAAAATATAGAAATATATATTTTTAAGTTGTTAATAATATATTAAATTGTACTGTTTAATGTTTTTCACATTGAACCTGGCGTTATCATACTAATACTTATGACTAAGTGCCTCCCCTCACTCTTGTGATCTCCTCAAGAAAGGTTAGTTGTGTAAAAAGAAATGAGTTTTGTATATTTTAAAATGATGTCAAGTTCGAAATAAATCCCATTTATTTATTTTGTTAATAAAACGCATTAAAAAAAGTAGCTTATCGGAAAATGACCTACATATAGGTCAATATAGATCAGCATACCGCTTAATAAATTTCTAATCGCAACGAAATCAGTCTTCCGAAATCTTTAAACAGCATCGTTGGGCAATGAATTCACTTTTTGTTACAATATTTAATACAGCTCTTCTTGCCGCTGTGGATGGATTTAGTGAGGAATCAATATTTGACGATGAGGATATATTCAATCAAGCACTACCGCCAATAGCACATACGGGCATAACTGCACCTGGTACTAAATGGTGTGGACCCGGTAATACGGCGGAAAATTACAATGATTTGGGCACACAGTGGGAAGCTGACAAATGCTGTCGCGCACACGATCATTGCGATGATATTTTAGAAGCCAAAACATCGTTACATGGTCTTGACAATAACGACTGGTTTCCAATGTTGGTATATATAGTTATGTTATTATTATTGTGATGTGATGCTCATATTTCTATTTCTCAGACTAAAATGCACTTGTGAGCAAGAGTTTTTGAATTGTTTACAAAATGTTAACAATATGGCTTCCAACACATTGGGTCGCGTCTACTTCGGTAGTCGAAGCAAATGTTTTGCTTTAGGTTATCCTCTAGTCAGTTGTAAGCAATATCAGGAGGGTACTTTTCGGAAGCGTTGCGCGCGTTACGATATCGATAAAACTAAAAAGCAACAGTGGCAATTTTATGACATACCATTTTACAGTTTAAGCCGTGCGCAACCCAAATTGAATAACAATGAACAATAATGAATAGAAAATACTTCTTTCAATAAACACCTCAAACATAATTAAAGTTTTTTATGTATAAATTAAAACTTAAACATTTATATGTAATTTCTTTAATAAAATATTTTACAGCAAATTTTTAAAAACTAATTAATGATATCCTTAAATAATTTCTCTGCCTTATTTGCCTTTTGCGTAAGACCAGCCTTCCACTGCGTAGACGATAGGCGGTACGTTTCGACACGTAATTTATTATACAGTAGTCGTCCAAAGGGAGTACTTTTCAACATATTACTTTTTTCCGCTAGTTCTTTTACGATGCGTATTTTTTGTGCTTCCTGTGCGGCAGAGAACAAATTCTCAACCACGTGGGAACCAAATTTCGTGATAGCTAAGTCAATATAAAAACCGTCTAGCAGACGCACGAATTTCTCTCTTGACTTTTCACCTACAAATTTACTTTGCAGAAACGCATCTGCTATGTGTGACCCATTTGGCGTATTTAAAATTGTGGCGAGCAGATCAGCGCTTGTTTCCAAAATGCACGTAATCATAAAAATAGGTTTGTTGTATTTTAATATATCCTGCACAATTAGAGAACCGTGTAAATGTACGAAAGCAGTTTTGTCTTCCAAGACTATGTGGTACGGCTTAAGTTTAATAAGACACAAAAAAAATAGTTTAGATTTTTCCTTATCTCCTGCTACCTGCATTGCAGTTTGAAGAGCAGTAATCATCTGAGCCTGTTTTGTGCAAAGCCGAAGACAAGTTGATGATAATGAAGACACCACACCTGTATGTCCTATTTTCAGTAGTTCGTCAATGTGTGGTACAAGCTCTGTAAATATTTGTTCAAAATCTTCCTTCTCCTTAATATTTTGCAACAGTTTCTGAACAGCAAAGTTTGTTTGTTGGTTACGAGCTAAATATGCTAAACGTCCAGTAAATAACATACAGTAAATCTGGTTGAATAGCTTGGGACCAGCGATTGTCAATAAGGTTTCCAATAATATCACGGAAGATTGACACCCAAACACCTGAGGTAATTTCACCTTTTCCACCTCATCTGAATTTTTTTTAATTTCATCATCTTTTTCTATATTATTAATAACCTCCATTTTCAAATCATCTTGATCCTCCTCATTGTCATTTATTTTAAGAAATGATTCCACTATAATTTTCTTACCAAAATGTTTCAACATATTTTTATCAACTACTTTCAATGCAATACATATAACACTGGTTAGAGCAGAAGAATTTTCATCATATGGAAAGTCAACAAATTGTGGCCACATTTCCAAACGTTGAGGATATTCTTTCATTACTTCTAACCACTCATCCGGCACTGTATAAAGCTGACGATTTTTAGCCAATTCTGTAGTACTTTTTTCGAAAGCTACTTTGGGAACATGTATTCCAGCTAAACAAAATATGCAGGTACGCAATATGTGATTTCCACAATTGTCCCAAATATATTCCTCTAAGTTATTTAAAACAAATTTTCCTACACGCAAAACGAAGTCCCCACAATTTGTTTTATGTTCTTTTGAGAAAGTATGAGTCAAATTAAAATTTTCTTCACTCAACATATCAACTTTAGCACGTTTACTTGATGTACCCTCTTCATCTTCACCATCTTTTTTATTCTCTGTTCCAACATAGCGTAAAAATGCTATTTCCACCATTTTTTGTAGCACGTGTGAAGCGAATCGATCTGAGCAAATTACACGCAGGTTTTCACGAAATGCAGTGAAGAAACGTTCAAGTTGTTCGGCATCAACAAAACCAATCAATGATTCCAATACTTTACAAGCGATTTGATTGGATGCTAAATGCACCTCCTGTTCTTTGGTCCACTCAAACACATTATTGGCCATATTTTCTAAAATATTTAAGCCATAAAAATGTTTATAATTAAGTTATTTCAAATACATACCTTTGTCAGATATATCATCAAATCCATTCTTCATTACATCTAAAGTGTTGATGAAATAATTATACTGATCATCATCAATATGAGAGCCCCTTCCGTATATGCCTTGTTTAGCAAAACCCTTGGCATTACGCATAAATCGAGCCTTTTTGTTTTTGCGGCGTTGTCGCTTTTTATCATTACTGAATGGGTTTTCGTTAATCATTATAAAACGTATATTAATGAATTTAATTAAAGTGTTTATATTATAAGTCTGCTTTTTTGTTTATAACTTTAAAAACTTTTTACTTCAGTTGAATTCAACAGGAACGTGCCAAAGTGTCAAGAGAGGAGTCACAACAAAACAGCAAGAATGTGTAAAATGGGCAAAATATATAATCTGAAAACAAATAGAAATATGAAAAAGTACTGTACAAAACAAAAACTAAACTACTGTTTATTAACACACAAATTAAAATCGAATTAAAATTGCTTGATACAGTAAATTTGCGAAATACGGGCTAATAAGTCAACTTGTTCAAATTTGACAATTTAAGTTTAATATTATTTTAGCATGACTATTATTTTTGAAATTCTAATGTAGTTTACAAAGAGATTTATAGCATTGACAGACGGGAGCTAAATTATCATTAAGGGGCTAAATTATAATTTATTTGCTCATTTAGCAGTTTTAAATGATCATTTATGGTCTTTAAATGACCGAATTTAACCCAATTTATTCATCATTTAGGTTTTTAGAAATGTTAATGCTGCATATGCAAGCGAAACGAAATAAAAAATGGAACAAATATCAAGCTATTTAGTTGTGAAAATGTAAACAAAACATATTTGAAAACATTGGTAAATGTAAATACTCGATATATTTTTATAAATTTTATATATTTTTTATATATTTTAAATTTAATTAAAGCAAGTTTCTTTAATTTTTCTTGCTTATCCATTTTGAATTTAAAATTCTTTCTTTTGCTTTTTCAATAAAAAAAACATATCATACAGCAACTTCTTAATGATAATTTAGACCGTCTGTCAGGGTATTTAGGATTTAGGTAGGATGATAATGATTTCTAATTAAAACAAGAGTTAAAAAATTTTTTTAGCATATGGCAACATGCTACAATTATAAGTTTGTAGACTCCCTGTTTAAAGTTCTATCAGCTGTGCAGAATATTAGTATACAAGCTGGGATATGGCTTTCATTTCTAACAACTAACTGCAATTATAAAATTAAAATTGTTCACAATTAGTTGTGTTCTTGACGTAATTAAGAATGTTGACTACAAAAATTAATAAGGTTGGAAAAGTATTGATTTGTGGCATGAAAGGGGTTGGTAAGACTGCACTATTGGAGCAACTTATTTATGGCAATATAAATGTAGATTCGGTAAGTATATTAAAATAAACAATGATTTGAAAATTTATACAACAATATGATGAATATAATAAAAAAAGAAATCGATATATGGTTACACTAGGAAATTCATTCTACCATTGAGGATATATACGTGGCAAGCGTCGATACTGGTCGCGGCACTCGAGAAACTCTTCGAATTTATGACACAGCAGGCTTACAGGGCAAAGCGCAGCTTGCACGACATTATTTATATTTTCCCGATGGCTATGTTTTAGTTTATGATCCATCTGATCCCAGCAGTTTAGACATGTTAGCAGACATAAAAATCGATATAGACAAAAATAAAGAAAAAAAAGAAGTTCCTATAATTGTGTTGGCAAATATGAGGGCACGTAGTCGTAAAGAATCGTCAGTATTGCCGTCACAGCAGCTAAACTCTGTTGAATCAATATTAAATCGGGCCAATACTTGGTGTTCACGTGAACGAATTAAACATTATACTGTTAATGCTATGGAGAGGCCTTCTCTGTACGAACCATTTATAACACTATGTGCTAGATTACATCCACCACCGACGAAGACTTCATTCCCACAATTCAGACAAGTAATGCAAAAAACGCAAAAAAGTGACGTCTGATTGAAACTGAATCAGATATACATTTAAGTCATGCATACATATTTAATAACTGCAATGTTTAAAGCTTGTGGTTGAAGTACTTAACTATTTTATATATTATTTATTAATCTAAAATTAACGCAACTCTTGTATATGAGGCTTAGGATAAAGCAAACAATGTCAATAGGATAATTAAAAGGTATAAGGCTTGTCTTCCAGTACATTTACAAAAATGAAATAAAATTATTTATTTATTTAAAACAGTATTTAAAAAATTTTATTTTCATTAAATTGAATCCATTATTAATAATGAAAACTATGACTTTTTAATATTTGTCTTATATTAAGAAAAACAACAACTTTATTGTATATAAAATTAAAATTCTAATACTTCACTTACAAAAATAACACAATCTCTAATATAATTAGAGACAAGATATAATTTATCTTATATGTACACATACTATCAAAAAATTAGTATTAAAAAATATTGGTAATATTAATGTCTTTGGCTTATATAGAAAGTTGTAAAATAAAAAAATATTTGCTAAAAATTTGTTCTTAATACGAAAACAGACATACAATATATTGTATGCCGGTATGCCGTACTCATTACTTCCACCGTAACTGAAACTTCAGTTTGCGTAAATGTATACGTGTGTCAAAAATGAAATCCCAGAGTGGACTGCTGATGCCGTAACCCATATTCTGATGCGCGAAATGATGCTGATAATGATAACGTTTCATATGGTACATATGGCGCATTGTGGGACTTCCGTAATGTAAGTAATAATGCATCATATCGTAACATAAATAGCCAAATAGTGCTCCACTAAGTAGGACATGAGGAGTCGGCACCAAAAAGCTAATCGGAGTGTATATTATTGTACAAATAAGTGCACCAGGCAATGGTGGAAATACTAGTCGCAATGGATCAAAGGGTACTTTGTGATGAAGGCCATGAATCATAAAATGGAATGTACACAGCCAAATATTGGTGTTGCTATTGATTTTCATATGAAATACCCAACGATGAAGCGCATACTCCAATAATGTCCAAAATAAAATTCCAACTATAAAATAGCCAATGAGGTAGATTAACTGTAATTTAATAAATATAAATAAAAGTATGATTATTTATTCAATAGTTTTGAAATAAAGTTTAAAATATTTTACCTTTTCTATGTTCGCTGCATTCATAGCATCTAAAAACTCGTTTAATATACATTTAACTATGACTGGTATCCAAAATGTGGGTACTACCCACCAAGGTGTTTTCGTGCACATTTCTAAATACCATGGTCCAAAAAGACGTAGAGGTCTGTCTACTGGTTTATGTACCCATTCATCGTAATGCTTTGTTATGTTAGGTATCTGTGGCACCATTGCTTTTGACCAATCGACTAAATACTGAAATATGATTAAAATTTATTAGCCAAATATACCAAACTAACACATGAATACATGAAATAATATATGGCATGTTTCTTATCAAAATACTATAGAGAATGATGATTTAAATGATTTCTTGGACCAAGAATAAAAAAAGTCATTTGGAAAGTGTCTTCATATATTGCATTGTTGTATTACATGCTCTAATGTATGTATATTAGTATTAATATAAGTATTAAGTGCATTTACTTGTTTATTTACATATAGTTTTATCTGAAACAACGCAAAATAAGATTTAACAAACAAAGCTATTGCAGCTATGCTATGGATGTTTTACCATTAGTATTGACCATTATTAAATCATTTTGTAGACAATGAAATAAATGCTGAATGCTCCGTATGATTTCAGCAAGATCATTCGGATATTGCTTGCTGAAACATAATCATTTAAGACCACTCGTTTTATACTCACTACACATTTAACAAAATTTAAAATCACTACTTTTGTAAATAATGAAATTAAATGCGTTGTATAAACACATAATTACAGAGTATATATTATTTTAATAACAGCTGATTAATTGTAGAAGGTTTGTAGCTGAATGAATTTAGATTTACTGGATTTAATATGAAAACGACCCAATACAATAGTGATAAATGTAGACAAATCTGCTCATCATTATTTATAATAAAAAGTGTACATGTAAGTGAATTAAATTTTTTATAAGTAAGCCTCATTCAACACTCAAATTTTACTTGTCATTGTCAAAACGAACATAAATTTTAAATAACTTATTTAATATGTGACGTTGGGAAGCTAAAATTAAATACTTTTAAAAAACAAAAAAGATTTTTTTCGGGTTGAGTTACAATTGAAAAAACATTCGTTACATTCGTTTTTTATGCAATTGTAAACAGTGCAAATTTATATATTAAATATTATTGATAATATTTTAAGAGTGGCAGCGCCGCGACAAGAAACTTGACTGCATTGTTTACTCGTTACTACTCGTTACCACCACAAACTAGCAAGTAAGTTGTCAATTTTTTATTGTTTATTTTGCATCGGCGCTTGTTAGTTGCGCGGTTCTTCTTGTTGTATGGATTTCAAAAATATTTAAACATATATTCTAGATAATTATTTAAATAAAAATTTTATTTGTGTGCTGAACAATACAACATGTCCTCAACAACTGTAAAACGCGTTGAGACTCTAAAAGGCGTATTTAGTGTACCAAGTAAGTGTGAGCTTTATTGTTGCGGCATTCTGTTGCCTAAGTGACCAGCTCTTAAATATGTAGTATAATAAATTCTTTTTAGAAGTGGAATATCGACGTGATTTCATGCGCGAAAACAAATTGAAACTACGTGATATACAACGTCAAGCTTCTGAAAAGCAGGAACTTTTGGAGAAGAAGCATCAGAAAGAACTGCAGTATTTGGGAAGGAGACGTTCCAGTTCACTACATCGCGCACCATCTGCACAAAGTTCGACGGGGAATCGTGAAGATGTCAAAATTCTTTATAATTCCGCCAGTAGAAATAGTTTGACAAAACAAAGTTCTGTCTCAAACGCTGTAAGCAAAGATAGTTTAACAAAACAATCTAGTCTTGTAAAAAGTGGCATCAATTTAACAAAAAGTACTAATTCCAACTTTGAGTTAAAAAAGAAAACATCTTGCGATAAGGAAATTCAAACCGAAGATATACAGGATGAAGAATTTCTCTACAATGCGTTAAAAAAGTATGCTCTTTGTTATAATGATTATACATATTAAAACATTTTATTTTAATAATTTTTGTTTTTTTAGAATTACGTCTAGTAATTCATATAAAGATCAAATGAACGATGGGTGTTTAAATGCTGGTAGTAATGAGTTCTTAATGCCTGAAACGCAAATGTACAGTGGATATAATGGAGATTCTGCTTATAACGTTCATGATGAGCCTGAATTACAAGAAGCTGAACGAATGTCATATAACGAAAACGAATACAGGCACAGGCAATTGGAAAATGAAGAAAGAAAAACGCCAATGGCTTCTGCCCGCTCACACCGATCAATTGTTAATGAATATTCACAAAACATGGGTGCAAATTATGACCAAACACTACTGCAGACAACTAATGCAAATTACTGTGACAATCAAGTAAATGAACTACTTGGTCATCGTGGTTCACATACTTCAATTGCAAATAGTGTTAAATTAAGAAATCAGGATAACGAAGGAAAATTTAACGCTAAAATGTCAAATTTATCTGTACACGATCAACCGATAAACACGAAAAGTAGCCAGTCATTATCAGGAAGGAGCAATAAATCTGTAAGCTCTTTTACAAGCCAAGGTGGTTTATTATGTTCAAAAAAATCTAGCAGTAATCTGCATCATGGAAGTAAGTTTTTTCTTTAAATTACAATATTAATTTACAACCACATAAATTATTTATAATTAACTAATAGAAATTTATTGATGGTTGTAAATTAATGTATAAGAAAGATAATTTTAAGTAAAACTTTAGTAAATGTGGTAGACATCTAGACTTGCAATTGCAAGTTTTTTCAGTTTATACCGTTTGCAGCTATAGTAATTGTAGGAATTCGATATTGATTACAACACCCAATTGTGCATGGGTGATACCAGTTGAAAAAGAATTTATCTTTAATGAAGCGTGGTATATATAACTACGAATGTGCAATTAAAACATTTTGTATGTTCTATTGCAGGTCGTGATGATATACGTTTACCACGTTATTTAGAGAAGGAAAAACGTGAAAAAGAAGAGCAGCGCCTGCAAGAAATGAGTCGTGATCCTGATTGTCCTGATGACCATTACGTTTTAAGCGAGGAACACCGAGTTAGTGCACTGATGGGCGCAGAGAAAAGTAAGTTGAAACCATTGAACACATGTGCACATTTCTTGTTAATGTTTTATTCAATATTTTGTTGTTAGAGTATCGAACTCTTATTGATGAATTAAATAGTTTACCTATGACAACTGAAACACTACGCATACGTAACCGTAAATGTAAAATTGAAAAAGAACTTCAGCGTGTGGAATCAGATATACGCCTCTTCTCAAAAGCTAAGGTTTATCTTAAAAATCCAGATTAAGATATTAGAAGTAATCATTTTTCATTTAATAATTTTTGCAAGTAACCAAAGTACAAAACAATGACTAATTTTAAATTATATTTTATAAAGATTTGCTTAAAAAGCTGAATTTTACTTTTAGAAACTTAAAAAAAACAGTAAATATACTTTTATTACATATTTATTGTACTCAAAAGTCTTTTATGATAACATTGTTTAATATTTAACTATGTATATGATAAACTATATGAGTTCGATTTATATACATATATTAAGAATGTAAAGTTGTATAATACAATATATGGTGAGTGACGTACACACAACTTACCTCCATACTCTCATCCAGATGACCATCATTCCTATCTTCTTCTTCGATTAACTCAATGCCATTTTCCTTTTGAACCTTCGTCAAGCCATTGTGCCCGTTCGTATGAGCATGTTTTGCATTTGTTTTGATTTTATACTCCTTCATGAGGTACATAGCAGCATCAGAATGTGGTGGAGCTTTCATAAAGCGTCCTGTCATATCCGCATTATTTAAACCCTTTAGTGTCGTTATGCCACCAGGGTGTTTATGCATAAACTCTGTTATATTATAATAATTTTGTTTATATTTTACTATAAAACTATCAGTTTCTTTTTGGGCATCATTCTCTTTAGCCATTTTTAAAAACTACAATACTTAAGTTCCTGCTGTACCTGAAAGTAAATTAAGAAAAAATTAAAATTTTGGAAGTCAAATAACTATAAGTGTATGTTCATATTAAAACACATAAATATTGTTAATGAAAATAATTACTTTAATACTATCAATTAATTTTTGCTTGGTTAACAGTTCAATTTGATTATTTTTCAAATTATACCTATGTATATCGTGTGAGTACATTTGAGTGATTATCTGATTTTAATTTAGAACTTTTATTGTTACTGTTATTCATTTATTGCATGTACATATATATATATATATATATATATATACGTTATCTTAGACCTTGTTTTAACATTTGTTGTAGTTGTTTAATATTATAATTACTATCAAATTTTTATTAAACAAATTAGTTCAGTTTTTGCAGTACATAAAAAAATGGTACGTGTACATTGTCACATATCACTAGGCTAAAAACAAATAATATTCGAATACATATAATATAATATATAGTAAGTTATTCATGCTAAATACTAAGTAAAACTTTATATTTTATTTTTTGATTAATTAAAATAAATTTATAATATATTTATATTTCGTCATTATCCATGATTATCATGCTTATAAATCAAAATAATAATATATTATAATATATAGTGCCAGTGTGCTAGTGTGATATTATTTATTCTATTATTTTAGAATTAAAGATACAAAAAAATAATATATCATTTCTTTATAAATATAAAAATAAAATGAAAGGTTTGTTGTTTCTAATATGATGTTCAGAACCGAAAACTGAAATACAATAAAATATTAAAGGAACAGGAAAGATAACAACATTAGTGCAAGATACCTATTTCTGCTACAACAATTCTACTTACTATTAAGATGCAAACTTTTGGACTTAAACTTTTCTCAGTACTACCTACTACCACAAATAATTGAAATTGGCTCGTTTTGGGAAAGGAAGAACTTTTTAAATTACTGTCCATTAAAATACAATTATTTTCAAATTTTTTCAAATTATATTATATATCACTATTAACTTCGATCTTCGAATACAATATTAATTCTAAACTCCACTAAAAGCGTTAAGATCAGGTTAATTTATTTGGTTGCCTCGAAGGTTTTCAGATTGTGATGCTAAACACGACGTAATAAAACTAATACCAATAACACCATTTATATCTTAGAAAAAAAACAGTAATAAAGGATCTTTATAAAGGATTGGATAAAGAGTGGGTGGAGGTTTCACTTATGTCGTGGTGAAGTATGCTTCCTATTCTGTTAGAAACTTGCTCACTCTGCAAAAGATATGTTAAAGTCGTAGTCTTCCACACTCTGTCATTTCTCTGTTTCTAGTTTGTTTTTACAATAACAATACGTCATGATCATTATTTAATACCATGGTACATTAGGACGAATTACATCCTCATGAATCTCAAGATTGATCCGATCAAAAAATACATAAAAGATAGAGCCCTGAAATTATTTACCAAAATCTGACAGGCTTAACAACACCGCGATATCGAATCTCAGAATGGTTACAGGCTTCTTAGTTTGATGAAGTGATAATAATAATAATCCAATAATCCAGAAACCTCGCAGTTAACAGAGAGTAAAAGTGTTCAAGTGCACTGACTCAACTAGCCTCAACATAATAATAAAAAAAAAATTATTATTTTAGTGGAAAGTAAATATGTGGGTGGTCCCTAGGACATTGTAAGTGCATTTGTAATTTGATTATAATTGCTCTATAAAAGCATAAGAGCTTAATTAATACAATATATTCCCTTGAAGCTATTCATGTTAGCACAAAATAACGTTGGCCTCAAGAGCGTTCGATAAGTTCTAATTATTTCGAAGTACAAGTCCATTGTTATTATGTCCGTCAATTATGAAAATTGTTCGATGAGTTCGGAGCAGAACTGTAATTTACAATAGTAATTATTTACACTAACGTCGTACAAGTATTTGCTTAATAGAAAACCTGTAAATTATATGCTAACTGAATTATTAATTCACTCGGCTGACACAGGAGCAATAATAATAAACTGTTTGCCTGAAATGCAACCACAGAAAATTAAAAGCAATAAATCATATTGACAATTGACCAAATTTCGTGCTGGTGAGTTCTTATAGCTTGTAATGTTTAGTGACCAAAACAAGTTTATTTTGAATTGAATGTAGAATTAAGTATATTTCTCGCTGCTCCCCGCTCTATTTGCTGATGATATACAGCACTAAAAAAACTATTAATTATCCTAAATAAATACGGTTACAACTAGTCAACTATATATTATGTGCTAACAAAGCTGAAATCTAACGCCAACATTATTATTTATAATATATTTAATATATGTACTATTTGTATATATATATATATATACTATTTGTATATATATATGTATATATGTATATATATATACTATTTGTATATATATATATACTATTTGTATATACACATTTCATTATATTTATATTAAATTATATATATAATATGTATATTTTTAGTATTCTTTATGGTTGCTTTAACTTTTGACACAATTATTGCTGCCACTTTTTTGCTGTTGGTTGAGTTGTGGGGATAAGAGGCAATAAAATAAATGCAAAACAACACATTTGCAACAGCAACGATGTTGCTTTGTATACTATATGATGATTCTTGCTTGTGTTTCGTAAAAAATATGAGTTGTTTTTCTGTTCGCTTGATTTTAAAGTGCAGGAACTGTTAAATGAATATCTCCTTCTAGAAACCTCTGGTAGGTTAGCTGATATCTGATTTTTTGCTGCTGAAAGTAAGCATTGATTTATTCCACTATGAAGCTTCAATACATGTAACGTACATTTCTAACACCTGCCGTTGAAATATCATTTGTACCTATCTCTGCAACAGTCTCGCTAGTGTAAACTTGACTACCAATGAGGATTCATTTGCGTCTAATAAACCTGTGTTTGTTTTTAAAATATTAACTAAAACTAAAGAAATAAACCTAGATTATATGTGAAATAATTATAGCTCCAAAGTGACAAAAGGTATTCGACAGGCATGTAGCCAAGTTTAAAAATATTTCAAATATAAATATAAAAAATGCTTTCCTTTTCACAGAAGATTGATTTGTATATGTATAGGCATAATATTGCTATTAATATAATATTACTAAATAATTTTAATTTGTAGAGTAATCTTTTGAGGTCTGTACGTATATAACAATTTGTGAGATAAAGTCAGCAACTTGTGATTCCTGCAATTAAAATAACAAATAACAAATTATTTTCCAAGATAAGCTAACCGGCATTTTTTGTAGTTAAAAAAATTTTATAGTTGAATGAAATAAAGTTTTTAATATTTTTTTTTTTTGTATTATTAATTAGAGAATAGCATAAAATGTTTAATTCGCCAGCTATGAAATTATTTCAAAATATTATTAGAATTTACTCTATATACGTTCTTTGTTCAAAAATGAAATCACGTATCAAAGCTGTACGACCGTTTGTATTACATTATTAAATTATTATATTGACTTACGATCCGTTAATAGTTTTAAAATATATCAACAAATAACAAAAAATATATGTACATATTTCCAAAAGTAAAATGATATCAAGTTATCTTATTTTATTTATCTTTTAAATAAAGATGACTACCCATCAAGTCACATAACATAAATAGAATTTTATATATTCGGATAGTTTGCACTACATATTTGGTTTTTTTTTATTATTATTCGAACTTTTATACAAAATGGATATCCGAACAGTTCAAACTACTTGCGTATATCTATTTGTTTCTTGGATATGCGGACTATTTGTTAGTTTTACCAGTGGGTAACGAACCTAACGATTAAGAGATAAAATGTTGACATTGTAAACATTGGAAATAGAAAAGTACAGAATGATGTATACATATGCATATTGTATATAAATGGATTAGTTCAACAATAACTATAACAATAAGTTTCTTAAACTTAAGAATTTCTAAGATTTAGAAAGAAAACCCTGAACCTCACATCAACGGCATTATGTGTAAAAAACCGAATGAAACAATATGATCTAAAAGCTGCTTGAGGATCAATGACAAAAGCAATTTATAAAACAGACAATAAACGATTAAATCCAAAACCCCTATGAATATTAGCTGGTGTTAGCAAAGACTATTACTGTGAACATATAATCATTGACTCGACAACACAATAAAGGTTATTTATTTTAGACTAGCAAGAATTCTTTATATTAAAGTAGTTTTTTTTCTCTGTAAATAGATAGATAGATAGTGACTAGCCATTACTGCGTCCGGGTATCGCTGGTGGCGCTTGAATGCGTTAGAGTTGTTTTGAGGCGTAATAGCTCAATGTGTGGAACAACTGCCATGTTGGAGCTTTCGATATGTCCGCATGTACTAGTGGATATGGATCCATGAGGATGATTGAGCTCCAATCTGCCAGTTGGGTGACTATTGGTCTGCACGCCAATATATATGAAAACGATTTATAAAACGTTATTAAAAAAACTAATTGCTTTATATTTGAATGATAAATACATATAATAAAAATTCAAAATTAATACAGTAATTGTATATATAAAATAGAATACAACTGACATATAAACACATTATAATATAAAACCTTTTGATAATTACATAGTTAGACCGATTTAACATGGAATAATACTATAATGTATGTTAATGCTAAATAAGTGGAAAAGGATGTAAGAAATAGTTTTATAAAACTACATTTTATAAAGGTGCTATTGCAAACATTATATTTTGCTAAATTAATAGTTTTAAAAAACAACTTGTGTTCATGTTAGTGAAAAATAAATTTAAAACAAAAAGAAATTTTTACTTGGGCTTTACTGATCCTTAAACACCCTGCACCCTTAATACTCTACGTTATTATACACATATTTATGGAATATTATGTAATAACATATAGAAATATATTGTTATTAATTTAATTGCTCCGTACAATTAGTTTGCAAATATATAACACCTAAAACCTCTAAACTCTTGAAACAGCAACAAACCCCAACTTATAATAGATACCTAACATTTG